CCCCGTTTGACCCACCGGTCAACCCCATGCCTTTCTTATGGCCCAATTAAAATATCCACCACCATATACATATTATCTAGGCCAAGATGAATATAATATGTGGTTCGGGAATTATCGGGCGGTCCCCGTCCCGCTGTGGGCCCCACATGCAATTTACTATTCACGTAAAATAAATAGTAAAAATTAACAATTACGCAAATTCATAAATCATCTTTCAAGGTTTATTACATCATTTACTAAAAGTAAATATGCTCGGGGTCGGTGTTACAGTGCGTACATCTCAGCTATGCATTTCTTTGGTAGAAGCTTGAAGTCTTCAAACGTTTTCATAGCTATGGTGAGTTTGTTGTCTTTCTCCTGCTCATCACCAACTCCTATGAGAGTGAGAGTATCACAGATTTCTTTGGTTGATGTGCACTTATTGATCCTGGTGAAGTACTTGTCATCTATAGCCTTGTAGAGAATGTTCTTGGCAATGTTGTCAAGGTTGTACTTCCTTCTTTCTTCGGTTGTCCACTCTGAGCGGACCTTAGTGATCATCTGTGCTTGGTCACCACCAGCAATATACTCTGAGTTCACCTTCGTGAACTCAATGAAAGGACCAGCATCAAGGACTTCCCACATCTCATCATGTAGGCACAGAGATGTGCTTTCATGCGAATCCTTGTTCAACAGGTAACCTAAAACATTACAAGAACAATGAGGCTCTGATACCACTTGTTGGTCCCATTCACGCAAGGAACAGTCTAGAGGGGGGTGAATAGACTGTTCAAGTCTTTTAAAATAGTTCTCTAAGTCTTAACAGACTTGACAGAGAGGGTCGAGTTCTGGTGACAGAACTGGTCTAGGCAGCGGATAGATTCTCTATTCGGGTAGCCTCAGAAAAAACACTAAGGTAAATGCCTTTCTGTTAACTCACAAGGGAGATCTGCTGAACATAGAGTCCTGACCTTTTGAGTTAAACAGTCAGAATCTTAATGCAGAAATATAAAGTGCGTAAAGTAAATGACACTAGGGATTTTTATAGTGGTTCAAGGAACAACGTGTTCCTCTAGTCCACTGTTCCACTAAGCTTGTAAAAACAACGGATTACACAGCCTTAGTCCTAGCACTTAAGAAGCACTCCTCGTCTTCTTCAAGTCTAGTTGTCACCCGAGATGCTCTTCCTAGCTTCCTGATGACTGGTCTCGTGTTCACTGAGTCTCCTTGAAGTATTCTTACTTCACTACTCCAGTTACTTGAGACGTCCTTTTTTTCAAGTAGTGTAGATGAGGCTTTAGAAGAATTGAAGAACTGGACGAACGATTCTCTCACGTTGGAAAGAAAAGATATGGAGTTTATAATCTTTTCCAACGTAAAGTCTTGTTGCTCTTGAGGAGTATGAAGTTGTAGTTTAGAGCGTTTGAATGTATGCACTTAGAGAGATTTGTTGAATCGTTGTAATCGTTGTTGTTTCAATCCTTCAAAGTGTATCATATATACTCAAAGATGCCTTTCCGTTGGAGTGTATAGGACATCTTCATTTAGTGCATGTATTGTTGATTTGACCGGTTGGTTTCCAAAAAGTAGCTGACTTGTTATTTTGAGGGCGAGAAAATCTTTCCCTGGTCAATCATCAGCTTTAAATATCCCAACGTGTGAATCACATTATATGAGCATTTAATGCATGAACAGTAGCTTTTCCGTTGAGAGGCTCCTAGCCGTTAGGGAATATCCCGTTAGTTTTGACCGACTCATGTAGAATGTAGAAATCTGTCTAAGTGTAGAGCAGTTCTGTTGGCTTGGCAGAGTCTGAGGGTTTCTGCCCAGAGAGTGCAACAGAAGTACTGATGTCTTCTGTTTCGTCGAATAATCTAAAGCATACACTTAGAAAAATTCTAATACAAGATTTCTAATGGGGGTATTAATACTCTAATATCTTAATTGAACTAGCATCATCAAAATCTAAATATAATTTATTCCTTACGGTATATTAATGTACCTCACACATATGGAAATGTAAATCGCACATATGAAAGTGTAATCTTATGTTTATCAAATGTAAATCGAAATAAACAAACTTAATGCTTTTAAAAACCACTAAAAACCACTTAATAGTCAAAGATGGCTAAGTAAATTAGGACGGAGGGAGTATAAAAGATAAAAATAAATATAGAAAAAAGTGTATGAATATGAAAAAAATATTACAAAAAAGTGTACAAATATAAAAAATATTAGAAAAAAATAGTGTATGAATATGAAATACAATATACATATTTATTTAAATTAATAAAAAATTGTTATGAATTGATATAGAACAAAAAATAGATTGAGTTATAATATAATTTAAGTTGAAGATAAAGAAAAGTAAAATTGCAATTAAATTTTTACTCCGTATTATTTTGATGGAGAAAAGTAAAAATAAAAATGATGCACTCAAGGAAAAAAGAGTGCAAATACATAGTAATTTATACAACGTAGTGATCAAGATCGGTACACCGTGCGCAAGATGTAACGTTCCCACATTATAAATTATGGTGTTGGACAACTGCGTTGAGCTTCTTTTGACGATAAAAGTGAAAATGTGACTATATAGTGCTTTTAGGTAATGTAGATATAGATGAATTAATAGAACCAAAAAACGCAAATTCTCATAAAAAATAAAAAAGTACTCCCTCCGTTCCTAAAAATTCTTCCCGGTTTGACTTGGCACGCTTATTAAGAAAGTGGAATAAAGTGGAAATGTATGGTTGTGGTTGTGTAAGAAAAAGGTAAAATGAATGTGAGCCACACAAATTGTTCAAAATGGGAAAGTGAGAAGTATTTTTGGGAACGGTCCAAAAAGGAAAGTGGGAAGTATTTTTGGGAACGGGGGGAGTATAAACAAACATTATATTTGACATTTTAATTATGATATATTTCTAATCATTTTCATTTACCCCAGTGCCGCAAAGGCTCCCACCTACGGTGGGGTAAGGGGGGGTCGGATGTACGCAGTCTTACCCCTGTACTAAAGCACAGAGAGACTGTTTCCGGATGACCCATAGTGAAAATCGCGTCCAAGATTCCATGGACTGACTGCTGCTTCATTACAAAGAAGCGCAGACAGTTTACTGAGCCATTTTGCATTCCATCATAATCTCAAGCCAAAAAATAATGAATCTTTGGCTCCATTGCAAATGATGGAAAATATGATATATTTCTAATGTGAAATGATAATTAAAAATATGATATGTGTAATTTATGTCAGATATGATATGATTATTTTTTGAATTCTATTATATTTTCATTTATATAGACTTTTAATTAGTCTAGTTTATTTAATTATGTACTCAATATAGTTAGTCACACAATAATATTGAAGGTTGTCTTATTTTAATCCTTAATGTTATTAGATAAATATGTAATTATATGACCAAAAAGCTTAATTCGTTTTTTATACTATGTATGTATTTATAATGAAAGAATGGCAAAAATATCACTTGGAGAGTTTAGGTAGACAAAAAAGTGATCTCACCTTTTCCCCCAATCCGTCCGCCTCTCTCTCCCCCGAATTCTCTACGCCTTCCGCCGATCTTCTTTGTCATACCTGCGCTTCTCTTTGCGCCTTCTCTGTAAGCTCTTCACCGATCGACAAAGGTCTTCATCGCCATACCCCCCACCCCACAGAGCTCTGTCGCAGCGCCTTCTCTGTGCCTTTCTTGATGGATCCTGGAAAGGTTAGATTTCTAGATCTGACGGTGGCTATGGTTGAGCAAAGATGCGATTCAGTACAACGATGGCAAGTGGTGGACAACGTTGGGACAGTGATGGCGGCTGTGAGGCTTGCAGGAGGGCTGTGGGGCGGGAGTTGGGCTACGAGGGGAAGGGAATACATTTCTCTGCCGCTCCAATTGTCGAGAATCACATCAATCCTTCCCATTAATTTCTGAAATTATGTTTTTCAAAACCAGATTTGTTTTCAAAAAAAAAATGGAATTGAAAGGTTGGGTTTGCATCTTGTTGGATAGGCATGATGTTGGAGAATTGCGACTGAATGGGCATGATGTTGGAGGCATGAGGAGAAAGAGAGAAAATGGCGTAATTGATTTCCTGGGGTGACGTAGGAGATCGAGGAGCTCGGTGAGGCAGGGGCTGAGGTGATGCAGGGGAGGGGCCGAGGCTGGGGTGACGCAGGGAGGGGGCTAGGGTGACGCAGGGGAGGGGGCGGTGGCAGTGTCGTTGGGAAAATCGCCGGAAAAGTCGTCGGAGATTTTTTCGGTCGTCACAGTGACACGTTTCCGGCGACAGTGACATGTTTCCGGCAACAATGACATTCGTAAGTGACATGAAAATTTGGCAGTGACAACTTCTTAGTGACATGAAAAAGTCACATTGACATAATTATTTACAGTTACATCATGTTTTTCCAAAACTATGACCCCATTAGTCACATTTTTGTCAATTTTTGAAACTAGTCACTTTTTTTGAAATGGAGTTGAATTTAGTAATATTAAGGGAAAACCCCCTTTCTAATTTCTACTTCAATATGATATGTAAAAGTATGATAATTTTGTCTCAGATGTGTGATGTTTCTTGTATTTTTTTTAGATCTAAGAATACTTAGGTTTATATACAAAATAAAAATATAATGATTGACTGATGTGGATATAGCGATTCAATAATACGCTAGCACTTGTAAATCGTGATGTATACGCACTCAAATGATGTACTTCCTCTGTTCTTAAAAAAATGCAACAATCAACATTTCACACTTGCCGAGACACAACTTTGACCATTAATATAAATGATTTTGTATTAGTAAAAAAATTAAAAAAATTAGATTATGAAAATTTACAATGAGACAAGTTTAACAATATTTTTTTCATAAAATAAAATTATTACATTAATAAATAAAACGTAGTCAAAGTAGAATATGTGAATAGTGTAAAAGTCAAAGTGTTGCATTTATTTAAGAACGGAGGTAGTATAAATAAAGTGGGATTTTTAAGTCATAAATAAATAAGGGAGTAGTTTAAAGGGACGAATTTTAAATAATACTGGAATAATAGTGACATGAAATCTCCCGGTCTAATGCTATTGGGATTTGGAAGTACTAGAACTTCCAAATTAGTTTCCAAATACGAGTAGTTTTTTGGTAATAAAATTAAAGTTTCCAAATTATTATTATTATTACGTGCTCCTTAAGTATATGAGTAAATCTGCTATATATATGTGTGTAAGAATTCGATATCTGTTCTTGAAATCGATCAACAAGCGCAGGTTACCACATTGTGAATCGATCTTCTCACCGGAATCATCAACTAACCGGAGTGGACGACGGCCCAGGCCATCTTCGGCCGCCATCTTCCTCGGCAATGATCACGACGGTAAACATTCAACGACAGGATTTGCCTTTGAAGAAACGTTGGAATTATCATCCCATGCCGGCGAAGTTCAAGAACAAGATAATCGAACTAGTGGGACCGGGGATAAGCATCACCGAGGAGAAACTGTTAATAGAAAAGGAGTTCACCGAGAGTGACCTGAGCAGAAGCCAAGGGCAGCTGACGATTCCGACGCAGCAAATGAGGAACCCGGATTTCTTGACGGCGGAGGAGGAGCGGGAGATCAGCACCCACGACGGGAACAACGTCGGATCCATCGACGGAGTGCCGCTGATTGACCCGTCATTGGAAAGGTGTGAGGTGAGCTTACGGCGGTGGGTGATGTGGAAGCCGAACGGGAGCGCGAGCGTGTCATACGTCATCGCGAAAACGTGGAACGACATCGTATATCGGCTGGCCAAGGATGAACTCATCGAGAAAGGGGACCTCATCCAGTTGTGGTCCGCCCGTGTTGCCGGAGACTTGTGGTTCTCACTTATCAATCTCAACTTGCCACGTCACCCATGAAGAAAAAGAAGAAAATCATATCGGAGCAAGCAGAGGAGGGGCTTTGGAGGGAGTTAGGTCTCGCAACAACTTTGGACCTCACATGGGAGGAGCCTCCAAAATCAAAGATATTACAATTAGTTTTATGTATAATTGGAAACAAGAATAGGAAAATTATCTTCTAAATAAGATAATAAGGATTTTAACTTTTTGGTATTACAAATGTTTTAGTGTGATTACGGTGAAATAATGTCTACTAAAGGAGTAAAAGTGTAAAGTTAAATATTTAATATGTTGAATGTATGACAAATTTGTATAATCTAAAAATTATTGGGTTAATATTGTTATATTGGTAAAACAAATTGGTATTGTATGGATTAGATTATACTGTATGTCATATGATATAGCATGAAATAATTAATGCGATGGTATTGGTATTATGAATTACGGAGTATTTATTTTCTTTGATTTGTCATTTTTATTTATAGATTCTTGAATTTTGTTAATTTATTGTTTATGATTTTTGTATTATACTCCGTATATTAGTACAAAAAGAAAGAATAAGTTGAGATAACTAGTGAAATTTTCTTTCATGAATTTTTCCTTTGGACGTTCACGTTATATCTGCAATTTAAATATGCTTTTTTCATATGATTTTTTATAATTTGAATATGATAAAGTTTTTTGTCTGGGATCTTCAAAGTCCTCAAAACGCCTCTGAGAGCAAGCTATACAAGCCTGCATGCAATTCAAAGATATATGTAACCATAGGCATTAGCTAGAAGGTTTCGTAGTACTTGTAATGTTTTTAAATTTAAATATTGGTATTTTCATCTAAATGTTGACTAAATAATGACCGATTTTATTATTACTGTTTAGCTTGTATCCAATATATTAATCAATCTCAAGTCTTTGATAGTAAGAACATTAAATTCCGTAAATAGAAGTAAAAATGTTTTGGAATTTAATTTCAAGTTTTAAAAATACTACTATCTCCGTCCCGCTATGATTGTCCCATTTTACCTTATCGGTCCGTCCCAACAAGATTGTCCCATACCAAATTTGGTAAAGTTTGCGTGGCTCTAAATCATTTTTACTTTATTCTTACTTTATCAATTCAATATCAACCACATAAACCACTTCTTATTAATTTGCGTGTCACTTCCTTTTGTCCCATTGTTAACGGGACGGAGGGAGTATCATGTTTCCTAAACATGGAAGTAATATTTTTTTAGGGAAAATAATATGACAATCCTGTTTTGAAATACACACAAACATCTTTACTCCTATATACTCGTATTTAGTATGTATGACTGTATGTGTGTGTATGTAATGCATCTTGTTGTGAGAAAAATATATTTATACCATGAGATTCACTTTTTCTTATTTCATTCCATATGCGCCAAGCATTAACTGAAAAGAATCATCCTTGCTCATATATTTTGGAAATTGTCATGATGAATTTTAGGGTTTTTTAGATATATGTGTCCTTGTAATTGGTTAAAACATCTCACTTGTTCGTCGTTCAAACCAATTGCACTCTTCTAAAATTAATAGACAAATCTCTTTCTAGCTATGCATTCAAAGAACAACCCCTTCTTGTTTGTCATGTCAGAGAGATATAATATGACCCCAAAAAACTCTTCTTGACTACTTTAGGGGTTGGGGTACGTGAAGGGATGGTTTACATAGAGTCGAAGTGGCTTATAATTGAATTTAGGGATGGATATGAACAATACTCGTACTAAAAATTAACTCATGAATACAAATGACCTTTTTTGAATAAATTTTCAAAAAAGAGACTAAAAAGAGTAAGAAGACTAGTATACCCTCTCCACTTGATCCATTACTAAAGTGACCAACGCTACAGTGATCAACGTACAGTGACGTCCCATTCACCCAACCAGTGACCAATATCCGCCTGTTCAATGATCAACGTCTACCTATCCAGTGAGCAATGTTTGTCCGTCCAGTGATCACCGTCCGTCCGTCCAATGATCAATGTTTGCACGTCCAGTGACCATTGTCCGCCCACCCGACAGTAACCAAGTGACTTCAGTGACCATCACCACACACTCTCCCACCATGAGCACAACATTCCCCACTCCCAAGTCCCACCTGCCCAACCCTAACCTACCTATTCCACCCTAGCCCCTAGCCCCAACCTCCCAAAGCCCCTAACCTCAACCTCCCAAGCCCTTTCTAGATATGCGTAGTGACAATGACCCCCACCACGCCGCCCCACCAATTCCCCGCTGACACCGCCACCTCGCCACGTACTGCTCATGCACAGTGTCGCCACCCACATCCCCTGTCCACCAGTTCAGTAGGGGCGAACCGTCGATATGTCTTCTCTCTTGGTCAGCCCTTCACCTTTCTCCGACTGCTCATAGTCTGTGTCGCCTCCATAGTTTTCCATTATTTCATGCAGCTTTCGCCATCTTCTGTATGCTCTGGCTCGCACTCTGAGGCTGCCAAAATCCCCAACAAACATGCCTCCTATGACGGTCAAGAGAAAGGAAAAACGGTACCCAAAAGTTCCAGCCTCCTACCCATCACACGCTCTATTATCCAAACCTTATAGCCTGAAAATCTGCCCAAACTGACTGCACGCTCGTGCGGCAGAAATACGAAACCCTACGCTTAGAGAGAGAGAGCTTTAGATCAGGAGAAGGCCAATCCATGGATCGAACTAACTTTAACAATCGAACAACACCAAGGGGGGACGATCCATGGAGGGAAAGAAGTGTAAGAAGACGATGAAGGGAGGATGCGCTCTTGTTACCCTAAACATGGGTAACTTCCGATATAGAAAAACTTAATTTTTTAGTATTTGTAAACCCATAAAATTGCGATTTCAATACCCTAAAAGAATGAAAATACCATAAAATTGTAAACCCATATATAATGTATTTATATGTTTATTTAAGAATGAAAACATGTAAAATTATATTACAAATATATAGTACAAATACCAAATATCAATATATATTTGGGAAACCATCCTAAATGGGAGTAAAAACGTTCTAGAATTCCTAAATAGAACTCTTATGTTTTCATTCTCGAAATAGGAGTAACTATTGTCATATTTTGGTAGTATCAGACTTTAATGATGCACACTAATTAGTAGTGCATAATTACATGTTTTTATGTTTGATTTATGTTAATTGTTTGACGTTTTATTTAGTTTGTAAATATTTATGTGATTTCAGTTGTAATTGTATTTTAGTCTTTATTTGTAAGTTGTAAAGTTTAGTTAGGATTTGTGGTGTTGGAAAGGAAGACTTTGAAGTGAAGAAAAAGAAGATTTGGCTGCCCAGGAGCAAATACCCGACCGGATATAACTCTTGACCCGGTCGGGTAAGAAGTGAAAAAACGAAAATGCAAAGAAAGTGCAAGGCCCGGTCGGGCCCACTACCTCACCCGGTCGGGTGAGAAGTGACCGGGGACAACCCGGCGTGCAAAGATCACCCGAACGTGAAGAATATCCAATTTTTTCACTCACTCGGTCGGGTCCCTTACCCGACCCGGTCGGGTCAGATATGACCCGGAACACCAGAACATGCTGAAGATCACAAAGATGTGGAAAAAATCTGATTTAGACCAAACCCGGTCGGTTCCCTCACTTGACCCGGTCGGGTCTGACTTGACCCGGGACAAATTAACGTGCTGGAACAATGAAACGTGGGAGTTTATCTGATTTTGACCGGTACCCGGTCGGGTATGTACCTATACCCGGTCGGGTACCCGGCCAAAGGTATTGAAAAACACCTATAAATAGCACTCTTTTTCTCCTCTAAAAAACATCCCTTCTTCTATACTCTTTAGCTCAGTTTAGAATAGCATTTCTTTATATTTTTCTAGCTATGTTTAGTCTCCAAATGAGGAGCTAAACTTCCATTCTTGGTGTTGCTCTTGAAGCTTGTTGATTATTAAAGTTGTGAGTTATTTTCTTAACTTCTTTCCTTGAATGTTAATTAATAGTTCTTTCCTTAATATCATCTCTATATTAATGTTGGGGAGTGTTGCTAAGATGACAATTAGTTAACATCTCGACATTAGTTAGAATGGTATTTTCTTCCTCTATATTAATATTGAGGAGTGTTGCTAAGATGACAATTAGTTAACATCTTGATATTAATTATAGTAGGATTCATCTTCTTTAATAATATTCTTCCTTGAATATTAATTAATCCCTACTCATATTTCATATTAATATTTTGAACATTACTTAAAGGATCAACTAGTTTTGTTTCATATATTAATTATTACTAGAAACGATCAACGAACCGATGGTTAATCGTTGATGGTTTCACAAGTAAGTAACTTCGGTTTATTAATGCACGGTCGTGGTTAATAAACTTAAGAGGGATTAATTATGTTGGTTAAACCGAAACCGCTTGTGTTGAGGTTATCAATCTCAATTGATTTCATCAAGGAGTTAGAAAGATTAAATGCTACTGTTAAATCGGTATAAGGCGTTGTTCTATATTTGATTAATAGTAAGGGTTATTAATGAACGGTCGTTGTTAATAACTACCCTCGATGAAGTTGATATACTCCCCGATTGAGTATTCGAGAGGGAATAAGTTATAGATATAACAATAATCGACTAAAATATATCAACAAGTGGAAAGTAGCAATGCCAAGTCCTTTTATCTTTGAATTAAACACATATAGGTTGTTCATCTTAGTTTCTTAATTAAATTAATTCACTCAAAACCAAAACCCCCCTTTTAATTACTAGTTTCATAGAAAGAAAATCATTCCTTTCCCTGTGGATACGAACTCTACTACGCTATACTACGTATAAGTGTTAGTATTGAATTTATTTTGACGCACTCACGACAAGTGCGCGTCAAATTTGGCGCCGTTGCCGGGGAAAGGCAATTATTTTTATTTCTATTTTACTTCAAGAAAAATCAAAAAAAAAACATTTAAAAGATTTCTATTTTTGCTGAGCTTTGTTTAAGTATATGGTTAAACACCGATCTATAAACCAAATCACCTACCAAACAAAGCCCGAAACAGAACAAGCCTTCGAGAGGTTCAGGAATCTATTTCCGAATACTTCTTGGGAGGAATCATCAAGTGCTAGTTCTCATTCTAGCGAATCCGAAGAGTCTTTCCACATGGCCCTGGAAACAAGAACGTTGAGGGAGCTCACTGCTCCTAATCTAAATCAACAACCCTTATGTGTCACTTTTCCAACTCTTGATACGGGGGTCACATTCGA